TACTCTCTCTCTCTCTCTCTCTCTCTCTCTCTCTCTCTCTCTCTCTCTCTCTCTCTCTCTCTCAGATAATAGATATATTATGTATTATCTATTATTTAGATGTATAATCTTAGCTATATATATCTAAGATGTATAATCTTAGCTATATATATATAACGATAGATAGATAGATAGATAGATAGATAGATCACTGATTAAGACGAATTGACTTTTGCCAATCAGAGAAAAGAAGAGGTGGGTATTTGAGCCTTCTTCCGCTCTGCTGAGGCCAATCAGGAAAGGAATCTATCGACCAATCTGGTAAAACAGGACAGGTCTTAGGTAGGACTGTACCAGCTGTTCAGGTAGGGGTATATTTTGTTCTGGTGTCAGATCTGTCTATGACGCAGTGATTTGAGGTGGTGTTATTAAGGATTAAGGTCAGGGCTCAACAAAGGAGGCAGAAGGGAGTGAGTGCTGTTTCTCTCCGTGAAGACGTTAATACGCCAGTTGTTAAAATTAGAGTTTCACTTTAAAATGGTGTAGCCTGGAATCTTGTCACGTGATTTCGTTCCAAGATGGCAGCGGTGGCGTCTGGGCTGGTGGCTGAGGCGGACGAATTCGAGGACGCGCCTGATGTAGAGCCGCTGGAACCGACGCTGAGCAACATTATTGAGCAACGAAGCCTGAAGTGGATTTTCGTTGGCGGGAAGGGCGGAGTGGGCAAAACTACTTGTAGGTGAGCAAGACGAAGAGAAAGAGCATGATGGCGGTTGCTGCTTTTCCCTCTACGGACAGGTTTTTTTTCTCCCTGCTTTCATGAGTTGTTGGGAGGGTCAAGATGAAAGAAGTGGTGCTGCGCTCCTCCGTGAGAAGCCCACCTGTTGAATTGTTGTCTGGTGTTTAGCTGGCAGAGGAAGCCGGGTGGCGGGGAATGATGGGATCTTGCAATAAACCGAAACGTAAATTCTGGGCGAGAGAGCGCCTGAAGAAACTGGAGTGGCAAGGAAGCAAGTAGGTAATGGGCTAATATATGCCAGGTCACAGGGCGTTATTTCCTCTCAAAGGACCATTGGCTACGTTTGAAATCTGAAAGAAAATTAGGGATTGAGTGCCCTTTTTAAATTCAAGGTTTAAGTATTCTTACTTATGGCTCTGTAGTCTCTGGGTTTCCTTGAATGTATAGCAGCCCTTGAGTGGAAATGTCTGTTAGAGCAGGTTGAATATACTATCTGACATGTATATAAAAGTTTTCAAATTGTAGGTTTAAAAATGCCCTATTTTAGAAAGTCCCAGATGAATTGAAGTGATTAAGATCTGGCATTCTCCTTGGTTCCCCATCCCAACTGTTGAACTCTACCAACAGTGTTTTTATATTTTAGGGACAAGCAGTGTGGTTTGTGGTAGGTTTGCTACTGTGGTGTATTTCTGTTCCAAGTTTTCCTGGAATCATGAAATGGAATTTTTGATAGAAACATTGAAAGGCCTTGGCATGTGGTGTTAGGTTTAAATGTGGGTTTTTAATTAGAATAACTTTACTGTGGTAATTTATAATTGATTATGCACCATACATAAAATTATGGCACATAATCAATGATCACATAATGGGGCTGCTTTTCATGACTAGTTTATCCTGAGAGAGGGATGTGATACAATAAAGCTATAGTACTATGTGTGTGTGTTTAGAAATGAGTTTAAGAGGGCTGTTCTTATCTAAATGACTAAAGTTGCACTCTTTTAACACTAAAAGTTTTCCATTGAATTTGGTGAAGCCCTGTTTTGACTTAATATGAGTAAGATTATTTTACAGTATAAAATAAGTGTCCATAGGAAAGTAATTTATTATTATACATAGGATATGTAATTATAAAATTACAACATTGCTGTCATGTTTTTTAGGCTGTTAATGTCTGCCATAATGACTAACAATGCTTTTGTTGAGTTAGTCTTGGGTATTAATAATCCTTTAAAGTTTTTTTACAAAAATACATGTAAGCTGTGCAAGGGACACTTTTTAAAATTTTTATTGAAATCTTATTTTGTACATTTCTTATATCTATATCTTTCTGATTGGTAAAATTCAAACTATCTTGTTAAGATTATGACCTTTACAAACTATATGTAAATATATTCAAAACATATATAGCAAAGAACTTAAGAGAAAATTAATCTCAAATATAAATAAAACAGAACAAAATATTGCAGTATTTATGTTCTTAACTACAGTACTGTATTATATAGAAACATATTCACAACTACAGCTTGTAGCAGAGAAAAAGTTGAACACAAAAGTATATCAAGCATAGGAAAATGTTTCAAATTATTTCTAGAATATAATCCTATTTTTAGGATTATATTCTATATAATCTCAACTGTTTTAGTCCATCAGAAGGTAGTTCACAAGCAAAATGCTATTACAGTATTATCTTTTTCCCTCAAATTAGTTTCTCCATTAAAAAATACATCAAGTAAAGATTTGCTATGTTAGTTTACACTTGTATTTACTAAATAACTTTGGATAAATCTTAAAAATCCTGCATATAGTCCTTCAGTATGGGCAAATCTGAACTAGGACACTGTTCTATTTGTTGCTTATGTGCTCGTATTAATAACTGCTTGTTGCTTTTTTTTCTGGGCCCAGTTGTAGCTTAGCTGTACAGCTCTCCAAGGTACGCGAGAGTGTCCTCATCATCTCTACTGATCCTGCTCATAACATCTCTGATGCCTTTGACCAGAAATTTTCCAAGGTTCCCACCAAAGTAAAGGGCTATGATAACCTTTTTGCCATGGTGAGTTTGCTTCTGAGATGATAAATAACCAAAATGCTTTTCATATGTAAAAATTGTGCATCTGTCTTGTGTATAGAGAAGGATCTGTGACTAAGTATATATTTCCTTAGGTTAGTTCTTTTGTCTTGAATAGTACACTAACACTCAGAAATTATGCAAAGAAAATGCTATTCCAGTTACTTTATCTCCCTACTAGAAAAGGCTTTTCCTCCTAAAAGTTTTGTAAATATTTGGGCATTCTCTTAAAAGATGGACTCCATTATTACACTTTTATTGAGACAAAATGGAATGGAATAGGAGATGGGATAAGAAATATTTAAATAGAATGGTATTCAGGCATTGCTTAAATAGAGTAAATAGGGAGAATATTAAAAATGAAGGAGGAGCAAAGTGCTAATTCTCTGTGAGAACCAAATTAAGGATGCTTAATTTGAGATCCTCATATTAGATCACAGTCAATAAGATTAGTTAGAAAGCCAGTTTGGTGTGGTGGTTAAGGTTCTGGCCTACAAAATCAGGAGACCATGAGTTCTATGCCCGCCTTAGGCATGAAAGCTGGCTGGGGGACTTTGGGCCAGTTGCTCTCTCTCAGCCCACCTCACAGGGTGGTTGTTGTGGGGAAAACAGGAGGCAGAAGTATTAGGAATGTTTATCGCCTTGAGTTACATTTAGGCAGTTCCTGGGTTAAGAACAAGTTCTGTTCCTAAGCCTGTCTAACTCCAATTTGAATGTAAGTCAGAACTTGTACTTACAAATGGGCTGCCTATTATTAAAAATGGCAGACAGTGTTTTCCTTTCTCAAGTCAACGAGCTGCTGAAGCTATGCTGTTTTCATGAACCGCTGAAAACCAGCTATATACTAAAAATGCACAGCTTCAGCAGTTCATGAAAACATTGAGCGGCTTCAGTGGTTCATTGGCTCAAGGAAGAACACTGTCCACCATTTTAAGTAATAAGCAGCCTGTTCGTAAGTACGAGTTGTCCATAAGTCACATGTTCTTAACCCAGGGACTGCCTACTATATATAAAAAGTGGGTTGATGATAATAATAGTTCAAATATCCCCTTGCACACAGTACAAGGTTATAAAAATTATCATAGTATATTTTTAATTAAAACTTCATATTTAATGCACATTCTGGCTTGCACATTTAGGTCTAGTTATAACAAAAATATGTAAAGAATAAAATCTGTCACTTATTAACCTTGGAGAGGAACTCAAGACAGTTGCTATCATTCTAACAGAGAACATACGCTGTTCTTTGAGTAGTGAAAGTTCTCAAAGGGACCAAAAAGCCAGCAGTGGAAAAGATATTGAAGATTGTCAAGTAGATATTGTAACTTTTTTGTGAGAAAGGGCTGGAAGTCTTAGCTCAGTAATTTGTAAACCCAAGGGCATAATTTGGGCATATCCTGGGGGTAATGGAGCAATTTGTAATTGCTGGTTTGTGAGTTGAGGATCCAGTTTGGAATTGCTGCTGCCAAAACACTTGTGTAAAACAACAGTCTGGGTTTTTTTGTGGGGGGGAGGTAAGGACATTTTGAGACTGGAAAAGGGAGTAATTGGATCAAACGGTTTAAGAACCACTGTCTTTGCTGAAAGAAAAATGAAATAAGGCAAGGAAGACAGAATATACTTATGCATCATGCGAACAACATGGATAAGAAAAAGTTATTCTTTATCTCTCTCATATTCAGTCATGTGAAAAAATAAGTACACCCCATTGAAATTTTTTATTTTTTCAACATATTTCAACATAAGGATATTTGATCTTCATTTCAACAATATTGATAAAGGGAATATAATGTAACACATATCATGCACCATTTACATTTTGTAGTCCATTGTGTAATTTAAATGAACATAAATGCAAATTTCACATGTGGAAAAAGTAAGTACACTCCTACATTTATTACTACCTCAAATACCTAAAATTAGAATCAGATACACCAGATCAGGTGCAAATGATTAGTTTGGGAGGAACCTGTCTTTAAATCTCAGACATTTAGTTTCATTTGCTCTTTGTTGTTGAAGTGTATGGTATTACCATGCCTAGATTGAAAGAGATCTCTCAGGCCTTCAGAAAGATTATAGATACCTATGAATCTGGTAAGGGATTTAAAAAGATTGTCCAACAATTAGATGTCAGTCATCAGTCGCAGAAAGACTTCTGGGGAAACAGCGGTGGACTGAAGACAGCTCAGTTCCGACCGTGGCAGAACGAGGAGCTGGCAAACAGATCGGCTTCTCAGAATTCCCCTCCAGAACAAGGAGAGGACCAGGATTGCCCACAAGCACTCCATACAGTGGTTCCCTGCAAGGAGACCATAAGACAGCCGTCTCCAGCGGGTTTTAATGCTCTGGGAGCCAAGGGAAAGTAATCTCTGCCTAAGCCATGATTCAGAGTCTTCAGAAGGACACTGATTCACATACTTCCTTTTTAATCACTTTTGGAAATTGCATGTTAACAGCTTTTTGGATATTAAGAACCTTCAGAAAGGCAAGTTTCATTACACCAGGTGAGTTTCCTTCTATCCTTGATGAAAGAAGTTTAAGTTTAAGGACTTAAAAGAATCTTATTTTGGAATAAACAAAAAGGTGATTAGAACGTTGATTTTGGAAAGTTATAAATGGACTAAGGGGCCAGAGGGACTTGAAATAAGATTTTAACAAGAATCCTTTCTGAGGGTTGTTTAAAATTTTATTTTAAAAAAACATGAAGATTCTGAAATTAAATGTAAGAAACCTTTCCACCGGAAAATGTTGTTGATTAGGACAAAAACAAGAGAAGACTTTGAAGGCTGGACACCAGAGGGAACCAGAAAGAACTAAAGATTATAATTAAAGGAGAAGAGACCCATTAATACAGAATGGAGTAAATTAATCTGAGTTTGGAAGAATACAAGGATATTTGGGAACAGTGCACTCAGAAATTACTCTTAAGATTGTCTGCTATAAAAATGGATTTAAAAGAGATTACAGAAGAACAGATTTTACTGGACAAAATAGAGACTGAGGTGATTCGAATGTGGATTTGAAAGTGAATTTAAAAATGTCAGGCTACAAGAATGATAAGGAAAAAGATGTTACATTGGATTTACAAATGAAACTGTAATAACTAAAAGGGACATAAAAATAATATATCAGAAGAGTGACTTGGATAATTTTATTATCTTGGATTTACAAAAGAGACATGTTAAACTTATGAAAGACTTTCAGAGAAGAGACAGAGAAAATGGAAAGACATCAACTTTTGGGACACTATTTTAAGAATCAAGATTCTTAAACAGAAGGAATACAAAGTTGGTTTATTTTACCAATGTTAAAATATGCATGTTGTTTCTAGTAGCTCTTAATGGAATTTTCTCGACTATGACCGAATGACAGGCTTTAAATATTTGTTTATAGACATGAGATATGGGAAGAAGAGATCCTTTGTTGTATTTTTAGAAAAAGTGATTAGTTACTGTGTTAAAAATAAAGGAATATAAAACTGGGTTATTTGATTAAGGTTAAAATATATATGTTATTTCTGGTAACTCTTAATGGACTTTTGCTGACTAGGACTGAATGATGAGGCTTTAAAATTTGATTATTGATAAGAGATGAGATATGGGAAGAAGAGATATTTTGTTGCAGTATCAAAGAAGGTGATAAGTTACTGAAATTGTTTGTACTTGTCTTGATGAAGGGGGAAGTCCTTTATCTCTTTTCTTTTTCTTTTTTTTCTCTTCACTTTTAATTTTTATATTTTTCTGAGTTTGTATTAGCTTTTTATCTTTGTATCTATACATTTCAATACAAGTTATTATAAAAAATCAGTCCCAGAAGATAATCTCCAAGTGGAGAAGATTTCAAATAATTGCCAGCTTGCCCAAGCCAGGCTGTCCCAGCAAGTCCAGCCTGAGAGCAGAATGCAAGATGCTAAAAGAAATCTCTAAGAACCCCAGAACTTCAACACGTGACCAACAGATAGCTCTTGCCACTATTGGTGTGAAAGAACATTGAGTCTACCTTTGGAAAGAAGTTGCACAAATTAGATCTACACGGGAGGTGTGCCAGGAGGAAACCTTTGTTGTCCAGAAAAAACATCAGGGCATGACTAAAGTTTGCTCATGAACATGTAGACAAAGACCAGGACTTCTGGAACATTGTGCTCTGGACAGACAAGGCAAAGAGAGCTATTTGACCACAGTACCAGAAGACATGTTTGGTGAAAACCAAAGACAGCATTTCACCAGCTGTCTTCTTCACTAGAAGAACCTGATATCCTGTAAAGCATGGTGGTAGAAATGTTATGATTTTGGGGCTGCTTTGCTGTATCAACCTGGGCAGCTCACCATCATAGAATCCTCTATGAATTCATCATTGTACCAGAGGGTACTTGAGGATAATGTGAGAACATCTGTCAGAAGATTGAAGCTCAACTGAAAAGGGATCTTCAAACATGACAATGGCCCTAAATGTTCCAGTAAATCCAGCAAGGAATGGCTGGAAAAAAATGAAAGAAATGGAGAGTTCTAGAATGGCCAGGTCAGAGCCTGGATCTAAATCCCATCAAGATGCTGTGAGATTATTTGAAATGGGCTGTGCATGCAAGAAACCCTTCAAACATTGCATAGCTGAAAAAATTCTGCATGGAGGAGTGGGAAAAAATTCCAGCCGATGTTAGAGACTGGTAGATAGTTATAAGAAACACCTACTTAAGGTTGTTTCTGCCAAAGGGGGCAATACCAGGTATTAGAGCAAAGGGTGTACTTACTTTTTCCATAGAAGAAAATGGCATATCTGTTAATTTTATGTTGAATAGATGATTGCAAAGTCAATTTTTCAGTTTTTTTTCAGTTACATCACCATCTTTATATACTGTTTGAAGATAAAACATTGATGTGACCACATATATTAAAAAAGAAAAAAAAGCTTTACATGGGGTGTACTTACTTTTTCACATGACTATAACTAGAATCGGGGATAATTCTATGAAACAAGTGAAAAGAAAAACTACTCTTTCACAGAGTGTATAATTAAATTTTGGAATTGGTTCCACTCTTGATATGGTGATGGATACTGCCTAGGATTGGTTTTAAAAAAGAGCTGACTTTGTGGAGGTTGGGGGAATTGTCAGTGAGTAATAGTTCTGATTTCAATTACTTCCAGTAGCAATGATCTATAATTTCAAGTGGCTGAAGAATGACGCTCCAGCTCTCTTTTTTTGATGTCCATTAACGTCCCTTAAGTTGTGTTCTGTAAGAAAAGAATGCTGAACTATATTGCCTTTTTCTGTAGGGTAATCTAGCATGGCCCTCCTTATGTTCTTAAGATTTGTTTTAGCAATTGGCATTGTATGTGTGTTTACAAAGTATAAGCTGTTTATTCTTGGCATTTTATTTTCATATGAAAAACAGTTAGGGTAGGCTGAGGTCCTAGATGGCTGCTTGTGGTTCCTGAATCTCTTTTTTGCAGGCCCTGTAGGATGCACAAATGCTGCAAATTGGCAGAGTAGTTTCCCATTTTAAGAAATGCAAAACTACCATATTAAAAATTAATGTAGGTTTTACAGCGTTTTCAAAAACTCCCCCAGTGCAGAAAAAAAAAGAAAATCCTTGCTGTGCCTAATATGAGACACTATGCATGTTGTTGTTTCTTCCATCCCCACTGCAGTCCTTGCATCAACTCCACTCCAAAAAACATTGAATGCATTCCCTATCACCAGATGATTGTTCATTCTTGATAAAAAAAGTGGCAAGGCAATTAAAGTGCTGATAATATAAATGGATGATCTAATCATGTACATAACTTTCTTTAAAACGGTTGTGCCTTTTTTCAGATTCTGCACACACTTGAAAGCAGGTGCCCAGTTTTAATGAGTCACTTTCAAAGTATGCACAGATGTAATTGCTGTAAAGGTGCATATGGTGAATTTCTCAAACAATGCTAAAGGTTAATAGTATTAAATGTTAGAATGGTAATGTGTATGTATGTGCATCTTGATTTAAAAAATGTCAGGCTGGAATTCCAAGTAGTTTAATAATTTGGTGACAGTTTCGAATCCGGCATAATCATTACATCTTTGAAAACTGCTGTTTGTGATAAGAATAATAGGCTATTTCAATATTGTATATATATTTTTTTTTACTCAAAGCATTCATATTGAGTAGACTAATGAGGCAGCTTCTACATGGTGGTGTTGACCTGTCCTGTCCATAATTTATTATTAGGAGATTGATCCCAGTTTGGGTGTGGCTGAGCTTCCAGATGAATTTTTTGAGGAGGATAACATGCTAAGTATGGGCAAGAAGATGATGCAAGAGGCAATGAGTGCCTTTCCTGGTATTGATGAGGCAATGAGCTATGCTGAAGTGATGAGGTGAGAATTGTGGACCAAAGTGTCAGACTCATCATTCCCCTGCTGCATATTTGAGGCTTCACTTGGAAGGAAAGGCTGAACTGTGCTTGGCAGTGTAACATGTAATATAACTGTCTTTAGGAATAGTCCGACATAGTAAATGATTGTGGATGTGTTGAGTTCTCATATATTTGTGATGTTCATTTCATTTATATTAGTCTCATGGATAGTTCTCTCACAGGGCAAAAAAAAAAAATGTCACTACTGTAGTCTTGCTTACTGATGGTAATTGGGACTGGGAATTCCATTGCTAAGCAATGGGGTTGTAAGAGGCTATGACACATGACCGCGCTGACTTATGATGGCAGTTCCAGCAGTCCCAGTTGCTATCCTGCACGGTCACAGCATCCTGCAGTCACGTGATCACCATTTGTGACCTCTTGCGAGCTTCCCCATTGACTTTGCTTTTTGGAAGCCAGCAGTGAAGGTTGCAAATGATAATCATGTGACTGTGAGATGCTGTGACGTCAAAATTGCAAGGCAGTTGCCAAGCACCTGAATTGCAATCACGGGACTGCAGGGATGCTGCGATGGCCACAACTATGAGGACCCATCATAAGTACCCCTCGTTCAGCACCATCGTAACTTTGAACGGTCATTGACTGAGTGGATGTTAAGCAAGGACTACCTGTATGCTGAAATATGGACATAAACCAATGCTGTGTTTTGCAAAATATTTAAGAGCTTTGCAAAATACAGTATTGATTCTTGTATGTAACTTGTGTTGGTCTAGTGATGAGCACTCAAACTGCCAAGATTCTGCTGGACCCCTAAAAGAACACAAGGTCTGTTTTCATTGTTTGGATGAAAACCTGTAGAACAAAGTCATATTTGTGGACTTCATTCAATTTGTGGGAGAAAGATGTGTAGCTCTATTTTAGTTGGTGGCTACTTACTGTTTTTGGAGCATGCTGATAGTTCTCTCTCTGGCCTGAACAGGTTGGTGAAAGGAATGAATTTTTCCGTGGTGGTGTTCGACACAGCACCCACAGGACACACACTACGGCTGCTCAATTTCCCCACAATAGTGGAGCGGGGGCTAGGTCGGCTGATGCAAATAAAGAACCAAATTAGTCCCTTCATATCCCAGGTAAGAGAAGAGAGGAATCAGCAACATAAAAGCATAAGATTTTATTGTTAAAAATATCATGCTACGCATCTGCCTTGAGTTCTACTTGTGGTCTGTTCCTGCCTGAACTCCAGTATTATTCTTCCAATATTAGGGAACAGGGTACAGTTATCAGCCCTGGTATTCTAAAATGCAGTAAAAATTGAAATACTGTTTTTTTTTGGTCAATGACCAGCAAGATGCAATAGCACTAATATATAGTGCTGGGCTTGATTATTCTGCCCTGGGTCAGTTAGCCTATTCAGTTCCTCTTTACTTGCCTTGTACTGTAATTCTGATTTCCCCTCTGTTGGTTGAAGCCCATCATTGCAGACTTTTTTCTTCACTAGATGTGTAACATGCTTGGCCTAGGAGACATGAATGCTGACCAGCTGGCCTCCAAACTGGAAGAAACACTCCCTGTCATCCGCTCTGTCAGTGAGCAATTCAAGGATCCAGTAAGTATATGGCAAAAGTAGAGGGAAGAGGGAAAATGTCATCTCTAAGCATAAGCAGATCTTAATGAGATTCACTTTTTCCTGGAAATTGGAGAGTTATTCATTGTAGTGGTGGTGAGGAAGGGTGGTCGGAAACCCTTCATCCTTGATGCAGGTACATTCTTAAAGAATGACACTGTTATTTAAACTAGAAACATTTTTTTATTCATGAATGTTTCACTAGGTTAAATGAGGATTAAATTTAAGATGGAAATGATTTATCTTTTTCACTTGCTGACTTACCACAGATAAGAGTAAGATTTAATAATTTGGGGCAGGGAATTCCACACATGGGCAGTGCCACTGCCATCACATGTTGTCATCATGTTGTTGAAGGCACCAGTTCACGCAAGAGGAACATAACCGTTGATTTTAAGGACAGGCTAGCTGACCTGGAAGGAAGCATTCCAGATAGCCAAGTCCTAATCCACTCAGGGCTTTAAGAGTGATAACCAACATCTTAAAATTTATTTGGAAACAAACCTGCAACCAGTGCAAGGGATAAAAAGAGTCACATGAGTTGTATGTTTTTCTCAGGTACAATTCCATATTAAAGTTTTTGAGTAGCTTTTGGAGATGGTTCCATGTAAATAATTTGTAGATCAAATTACAGTGCATCAATTATAAGAAGTGTCATTAATGTATATAGGACTGGAGTCAAGTTTATTCATACATGGAGCGCAAAGATTGGAAACCTTTTGTGGACTTTTTGATGAAAATGGAAAAAAGTGAAATGGTGATGCCTGGATTTGATGATTGACAAAAGGATTGAATAAGGGGCTGAAGGGATTATTGTAATGTTGAAGAGGGATAATGAGTTTGTTTGTAACTGCTGTAAAGAAGGGCGGAAGTTGCTTCTTTAATTATCTTTTTTTTCCCCTTTAACTGTATTGTTTTCTGCACTTTTTCTTTTTTTCTCTCTTCTCTTTACAGTTGCAAGAAAAAGTATGTGAACCTTTTGGAATTTCATGGTGTTCTGCATTAATT